ATTTTGTACACAACTCACCACCACCCCCAGGGGCTAATTTTGTTCTTGGAAGATTTTCTTCGACAAAATTTTTCAAGGCCGACAGTTTTAGGCTTTGAATCTCTTTTACTTGAAGAAAAACGAAAGATAACTACAGATAATCCAATACAATATCAAGTTTAGTGAAATTTACCTCAGATGTCTTTCATTGAAATCGAAAATCTGGAGATTTGAGACAAATCAAGATTAAAAAAACTGACTTGAAAACTGGTTAAGGTGAGCAGAAAATAAGCTTACTTAATTACGTCTTTTACAGAACGAGACGAAGTTCACATTCAGTTAAACTTGACAAGAACAACTGAGACAAAATAGAGAATAATGCAAAAGGCAATGCAAAATACAAAATGACGAATTTCTTGTCAGTAAATTGGCGTTCGTAAATGTGTTTGAATGTTTTTTAGCTTTTTAAAGTGAAAGTCTAGAATCTGTGAGTAGTTTGGCTTTGACATCAAGCGGGATTCCTCTGTTGTGTACACGGAAGGACGTACGGACGTACGGACGCATGTGACGTCAGCCAAGCCATGAAAAATAAACTAGATGGTTTACCATTTTTTCTTAAGTATGGTGCTCCGTGCGGGTGCTCCGCTAATAAAATAATTTGCATGGCGACTCATTAGATCTGAAAAACATCGATTCAACTGAAAACTCTCTCGATCGTTGTTGTATCTATAACTAACCTTTGGTGTTCCAATGAACGCGGATACCGGTTGGAGAGTACAGTATCGAGAATGTAGGCTTCTCATGGTTTTCCCAGGCGCAGCATCCTGGAGTCAATTCTATAAGTGCCATCCATCCTAAGTCATCTGGACATCCGTCATATAAACTGTTAATGTAAAACGATCGCCTCACATCAACTCCTATTTCACCAGTTATGGAGAAGTAGTTGACAGGCTGGGAATGTATGTCTGTCCAAGGACTTGTTAGAAGATGATCACGAGAAAACCAGTTGGTCTTGGTAGATCCTTTGGCGTTGAATACCAAACGAACAACCTCTGTCTTGTTCTCGTACAACGACAATCGAACCTATAAGAATCGCAAATTAGAACTTGTAAGTAGTTGGAAATACCAACCTTGATCTCTTTGTTTACCACCTCTTTAATCACGTGACTTTCGTTCCTGCCCTCTTTGGTCACGTGACTTTCGTTTCCGCCATCTTTGGTCACGTGACTTTCGTTTCCGCCCTTTTTCAACAGTTGCTAACAAACAGTATAAATACTACAGTACCTGTGTTGGATTGAATGCCTGCCAGTGTTCTACGATTCTGTTTTTGTAGTGCTGTCTGGACGAGCTGTTTATGGGTAAAGATGCTGACGAGGATTCTAGAAGAGAGTTTGACAGCCATAGTACTGAAGGACCTTGTTGTTGTAGTGGTACACCACTTACGGCCTTGAAGACCATCGTCCAGCCTGAATCATCTAACATGGTCAAAGAAAGAAAGTCAGCAAAATGCTGATCTCTATATTTTGTAATATTTAAGGGTTCACTTTACCTTCTCCGTTGTCATGGTCACAGTAAACGTCGATCTTGCTTTTGTTTGGAGTAATGATTTCGTAGATACCGCTGTTGGTGTAGCCAGCRGCAAATCGTTGTGCGCAGCTGCKGAAATCTGATGAACACGAATTATAAAAGTCAATATACTTACTTTTCGTATTCATRTCTTCTGTTTCGTTGCTATGGTTACCTGGTATCTGACAGTCTTGTCCCAGTGTGCCTGCAGGACATTCACATTTGTAGGTGTGGTTTGTATAGAATGGAACACACTTTCCTCGATGCTTGCATGGTTTTCTCTCGCATGGATTCTAACGGTTGAAAAGGTTGAAATAGCGTGARMATGACTRCGGGATGTTCTTGATAAATCGGTTTTCCAGCCACAAGTGTTCAWTCTAGTGTCTCAACAAGTCCAATTTGATTCAAAAATAAGTTRAAAAACTAATTAGTATTCAGTTGCCTTGGCTCACGCCAAATATTAATCTAATTTGTTAGGTATATTTCAATTTTCATTCAGAGTGAAGACTGTTATCTATTATTCCATTTTATACTGATGATAGCAGATGTACTGCCGGAAGTATGTGTGTCGTTAACGATAAAAAGTTTCATGCTTTTTTATTAAAATAAGCTCTAAATGTTTCCAATATAATTGCCAAAACAAAATACAACGCGAAACAGAGAGACAAAGACTCACCGCAATGCTGTAGTGATCAATCCCTTTGCTTGGTCTGAAATTCGACTGGTTTTCATATTTGTCAGAAGCCAAGAGCTCACA